ATATCTGTTTATTTCTATGTGTTCGATTACTAGAAAATATATTCGGGATTGTTTCACATATGTGCCCCCCTTCCTTGTCCCTCCCCCCCACAAAATGTATGTATATGCTATTAATCTGACCACATGGCTGTGTCTGTGTTGCTTTAAGTTTTTATTGTTTCGACTGTGTGTACTACAGAATACCATACCATGTCATCTTGTTATGCAAACTTATAAAAGTGAAAAAATACAAATAAAAATTTGATTTAAAAATATATATATATTTTAAAGAAAATAAAAAAAATAATAAAAAAAAAACCCAACACGCCGAATCGACTGCACATAACGAACTCCCGCCCCAAAATGAAGCATCTGACAGATGCCAGCAAAATAAAAATAATTGGGCGGAGCTAGCGGTGACAGCTAGCAGGAGGCCCATGTAGCGAGAAGCTACGTCTGAACCTGAGTTCATCCCTAGTAGTGATGTAAGTGGCCACCATTTTGGCTGATTTTAGCTACAGGAGTTAAGTTAGGCAAACCATGGCATAAATCTTAGTTTATATGGAAAAAGGGTGCAGCATTGATATTTCTGATTCAATAAGAATGGTAAGCTCATTATAATATTGATTTTTTAACAAAGGTGCAGTTGTTGCTTAAAGTAAAAACACCCTGCTGTTTTAACTGATTTAGACTCAAAGTCAAAATCGATTTGCAAAAGGCTACAAATAAGCAAAATAAGAGGATAATAAGTAATAAAGTCAATGCCCAGACCCATAGAAGCGCACCTGCTGTTGCCTCCTTCTAAGAAAAAGGAATAAAAGCCCAGCACATTAAAATAACCTTTCATGGATTAGAGCTTGATGCGTTCTGGCCCACAGAGTACAAAGAAAGCTCTAATATTCAAAAAAGCCACACTACAAGGACGATCTACCGTACCGCAAGCAACTGTAGGACTTCCCACAGAGAGCACAACACACGATAGGATAAAAATAAATAAAAGATAAAACAGAGATATTTTACATCAAAAATATATACCAGTGCTCATATAAACTGGCAATTCCCTTTAAAAAGGGAAAAAGAAACAACCTATAAGGGACCCATATAGGCCACTCTACTGCTTAGACTGGAGCTTGTGAGGACAATGTGATAGAAGGTGAAATTTGCTTGTGGCACGGAGAACAAGAAATTAACTATACACACTGTACATGGGTTCCTTCCAGAGCAGGATGCAAAATGTCATGAAATCCCGGAAAAATCAATCACCCCTCTGCTATAATAAAGTAAGGAGAGGAGTGAAGCTGTGGCTTGCGGAGATCCCCACACGATGCTGGAAAAACAGGAGGCTACAAACAGCATCTCATCCAAAGCTAGAACATCTCAGCAGGCTGCAGTCTTCCCAGCACAATGTACGACCGGTATTCCCCAGATGTATGTTTTATGTGTATATTAAATAAAACATCTCATCTCTCCAGGGTGCATGGTGTGCAAACTTTCTGCAAGGCGGGCTGGAGTTTTGAAGATGCAAAAAGTAAACTGAGTTTTTGTTGTGTTCGGGTAAGGAAGAACACTGCAGAAAATCGACAATTTCGAGAACGTTATATTGTCCACGGCCTGCTTGTCAAATCTTTACTTTCCCGGCCCTGGTTCTGTGTCCACACTGTGATATCATTGGTCTGCTGTAAAGAGTTGTACTCTAGTTTATGTGCTTACATCAATGTTTTGTTTGGTCCCTATATTATGTGTCTGTCCTGAAAACCAGTTTAAAGAACTATGAGGTGAGTGATTTCCACTCATCTGCAAAGTTAGAGCCGACTTGTGACAAATAAGCTGTCACATGTTGACTCTATAGATTGGCAAGTGAGCAAACACATACCGTTGCTCGCTCATTTCCTGATCATCTCCCTTTAGAGAGCAGTGACTGTCAGCCACGGCTTCCCACAGGGATCCCCCCCCTCCCCGATCCTCCAGCACAGACTGGAGGGACGGACAGCGGAGGGGTCGGGCACAGCTGGCTCTGCCTCTAGATAGGCAGAGCCAGCTGTCACTCACGCAGCTGGGTGGATCCAGTATTGTCAGGATCCGTCCCGGCTGCAGCAATCTCAGTATATCGCAAGGCAATAGCCCACTATATACTGAGCTTTGGGTCACTGGAGCAGGTTCGTATGTCCTCCCGTGACCGTAAAGAGAACTATGGGATAAAAATGTTACCCCATTGTTCTTTTTTAAGGCTCACACCTTTTTATCTCTTTATAGTCTTGTACCCTCTCAGTTGTGGGTGATTTATGCTAAGAAATTACACAAAATACTTTTTTCTCGCTGCTTCCAATCCTCACGCTGCAAAATTCTGTGCTAGCGGAGCTGAGTAACAGCCCCATACCGTGGTACTGGAGAGAATGGTAGGGGGGTTTCTGACCAGGTTTACAACAATACAGAGAGCACTGGGTTTAAACTTAGTGCCATTAGAAATGCACATTAGAACTTGGAATCCTTGTACAGCTGCTCTAACATGAAGGAGGAGGCAAGACTAGGAGAATGGAGGCTGTTACTACAAAGTCTGGCTGTGTAAGTAATTCTGTGACTTTAATTCGGTTTTAAATCTTAGTGTGTCCTCAGCACCCCACCCAACAATTTCTAGTTCCTGAAATATCAGATGTCTGAACATCCATGTAAGAAATGGAGATGTTACTTTTGTTCCACTCCTCGTCACTGTGAAGCTCCACCACACCCACAAATGTTCTGACATTTCAGCTGATGTAAAAAGGACGGTGACAATTGAAGGGGTGTTACATGTAGTGAGGTAAAACGTGGGGTAGCATGAAGACTTAGTGGCTAGCATTCTCGATGTGAGTTCTGGATTTAATAACTATATAAGCTCACTGGGGAATTTATCACAACTGGAGCAGACAAAATCTGGAGCAGTTGCCCAGCTGCTCTCTTTCATTTTCAAATCTTAACTGGACAAACTGGAAGAGAGAAGCTAATTGGTTGCCACGGGCCACTGCTCCAGATTTTGTCTGCTCCAGTTTTGATACCTTCCCCCCACTGTGTTTTAGTTGACGTCCCAGCGTCCCACCTCAATTAAATAACATTCAGAGAGGTTATTCAGCTTCCACTTAGACAGATCCTGTATGTCTAACAATAGACTGTAAGGAATACCTTGGTAAACAGGCACATAACCAGACTAATTGCTTTATGTTCTCTGTTAGAAGACAAATATAATGGTTTTGAGTCAACATAATTTTTTTTAATGTGAAGGCTTTTATTGATTTATATTTTTTTTCTCCAAAAAATGTAATATATGACAAAGGATTCCCAGAGCACCAACAGATATCTCAAGAGGATGCACAGTAGAGGATGCACAGTAGAGCAGCTTGGAGCGAAGCTGAAGGGACCGATGTAACAGCCAGAGAGCAGCAAGGTTCAGGTGAATATAACTTTTTTTATTTTCATCCCTAGACCAAAACGAGCACTTAACCCTTGCGGTGCTGGGTAGCGGTTAAAATAAGCAGAGGAGCTGTAAAGTGCAAGCTAATACTATCCTGTTGTAACATTAGCACTTACATGAAAAAAATCCCTTTTATGGAGTGCTGCCTTCCATCTCCCCGTCACTTTCATCAACTTCCTGTATTCCCAGTGTGCTTTGCATCTTTTTTCCTGCTGCTCAATGTGATGCAATCTCCATTTTTTAAGACTACATAGGCCATTGTGCATTGCTTCTAGCAAGCAATGATAATGCTACATTATAGGAAGTTCAGACGTCAGGTTTAGTTAGAGTGGTGGCACCAGGAAGTGCATTGAGGAAGTACATTCTTTGGACTTCTTCAATAAGTTTACAATCTTCTACATGGGTCTGGTTATTAGGAATGGGATAGAACTTATGGAAATACAGATTTATTTTTAGTTTTTGACCATAGACACCCTTTATAAATCCAGTTGAATTGTATGATCTTATAGTTACCGCATTTATCATTGCATATTTTCACACCTGCCTGAGTTCATCTATAACCATCTCCTAAAGCTGTACAAGTATCGAGGAAATTGAATAACATATAATCAGTATTTTAACAACTATAGCCCTACTCTCAACCCCTTTTGAATGAAAGGGTAAGAAAACATCCAATTAATTCCTTACGTGTTTGGGGCTCAGGTGTCACTCTCTTGACAATGTATAAAATTAAAACCAACAATAACATAAATTTTCCCAGCAACACAAAGCAAAGGTTAACCACAGACACGGTCGTGTAATTAAGCTGATAAAGACTTGCTTCATTTGAACCTGCTCACTGAGTAGCGGCGCACAGGTTCATGAAGAGCTGCACAAATTATACCGCAAGCTTGAAAGAAGAATAGACTTCATTTTCTTTTGCGGTCATGAAAAGTTTACACACAGCTGCTTGCCAGATTTGTGGGTCTGTTATTCAGCCTCGATGGCAGGAGAGGGGATTATACTGACCTATTAGCAGAGAGGAGTTTGTGTTCAACATATTTCTTAGGCTGTCTTGCAGACATTAATGACTTAACTTAACCGATTCAGGACCGCCCATTGCAAAAAAACATCCTGTCCTGAAGCGGTTATATCAAGAACACGGCTGCTCCTGCAGCCGTGTTCTTGGTATCATTTTCGACAGCAGGCGCTTGCTCCCCCCCTCTGGCTTCCCCGGTTGGGCCCGGGAGCGGCACGGCGGGTCTCCCCGCAACGATTCGGAAAGAGATCAGCAAGCTTCAAGCCGCTGATCTCTCCTCCGTTTATTGGACCCGGTAGTGATGTGTATTACATCACTTCCGGTGTCACTGTGTACATTCTCCGCCTCTTAGAGCCAGGAGAAGAAGCTGGTGAGGCAGATCTCTGCTTCCTCGGTTTCCTTGGGGTCCCTAGGTGACATTAGGGGTCTGAAAGAAGCTGAGATATCTGTGTTATTCTGTAACAGCTCCTGCTTCTTTGCAGACACTTTCATCCCAAATGTAAAGAATTTGAGAGCTGTCACAGAATACACAAACTGTTCACAGAAATAATAATTAACCCCCCCCCCCCCCCAACTCCTACCCCCCCCTTTG